TTTTTTTTTTTGAGACAGAGTCTCGCTCTGTCGCCCAGGCTGGAGTGCAGTGGCCAGATCTCAACTCACTGCAAGCTCCGCCTCCCGGGTTTAGGCCATTCTCCTGCCTCAGCCTCCCGAGTAGCTGGGACTACAGGCGCCCGCCACCTCGCCCAGCTAGTTGTTTTGTATATTTTAGTAGAGACGGGGTTTCACCGTGTTAGCCAGGATGGTCTCAATCTCGTGACCTCGTGATCCTCCCGTCTCAGCCTCCCGAAGTGCTGGGATTACAGGCTAGAGCCACCGCGCCAGGCCTCTTCTTTGTTTTCTAAATGCAAACATTGGTTCAGTGCCTGTTATGTACAAAGTCTTGTGCTAGATGCCTGTAGCCATCATTTCATTTCAACCTAACAACAGCCCTACAAAATAAATATTTCTATTTTCATTTATACAAGAGAAAACTGAGGCTTAGGAAGGTGAAGTGACTTGCCCTTATGGGCTCTAAAGCCTGTGTCCTTTTCACTGTAATATTCTGCTTTCAATCATTGCTAACATTTACTTAGAGCTAAGCAAAATGTCCATAGTATCTCATCCTCCCAACAAAATTGTTATTCTCATTTTATGGATGCTACAACTAAGAGTTAGTGGCATTGAAGAATTTGCTCACAAACCACATAGCTGTAATTTATAGAGCTGGGATTTAAATCTGGGATTCCAGAGCCAACACTTCATCTTGACTCTGGAATCAGGAACCCTAGTTCTAGCTTTGCCTTTGTTACTAACTCAAGGTGTTCCTTAAAGGCAAAATCATTTTCTCACTCCAAATATGTTTTCCTAATCCATGCAAAAGAAGGCTTTGTCTGTTCCTTTGGAAGAAGGGCATTTGGGCATGTTGGAAGAATTGTGTTTTCCAACATCATTTTCTATTTATATTTATCGCTTACTTCTGTGACTGTCTAATCAGAAAATGTCTCTCCATTGCCCAGAATAAAATCCAAATACTACATCATGACTTGGAAGAGTCTGCCTGGTCTGATCCCTGCCAAGCTCACTGGTCTCCCACCTATTCTTTGCACTGGTTATTTCAAACAACTAGTGGTTTATGTTCTCTCCAGTCTAAGTTGGGATGGGCAATTTCCTCTGCCTTCTCATCTACCTGAAAATGCTGTTTCATTATTGAAGACCTAGCTCAGGTGTGATATCCTCTTGAGAGACTACTCTGAGTCTCCAAACTGAGGATTGATGTCCATCTTTTATATTCCCAGAACAGCATGCTTAGTGTTCCTCAGCCCAGTGCTCTGCCCCCGAATTAGAGGCTGTTAATATTTCTGTCTGCCTGTCTCTTGTCACTGACTTATAAAGATACCCCAGGCTTAAACTAGTTAATATCAGTCGCAGGGCCTGGTACACAAAATACACCTAATGATATATAATAATGATGATGGCCATGAGAGTGATGGTGGTGGTAGTAATGATAATGGTGATGATACTTTCTAGCATGCATCAGGTGCTACTTTGTGCCAAGTAATTTTCTAAGAGTTTGACATGTACTGACTTAACCCTCACTATAACTTTATGAGGTGAGCCATCTGCTGTTCCCTTTGCATGGATGAGCAAACCAAGAAAAGAAGCTTTTTTTACCAGTATAGAGAAAAATCAAACCAACACCTGTAAGTACAACAATGGGAAACAGTTAACACCTCACTGTGCACTCCACTTGGTTACTTTTTTTTTTGATAGAGTTTTGTTCTTGTTGCCCAGGCTGGAGTGCAATGGTACGATCTCGGCTCACTGCAACCTCCGCCTCTTGGGTTCAAGCAATTCTCCAGCTTCAGCTTCCTGAGTAGCTGGGATTACAGGCATATACCACAAGACCCGGCTAATTTTTGTATTTTTAGTAGAGACAGGGTTTTACCATGTTGGCCAGGCTGGCATCAAACTCCTGACCTCAGGTGATCCACCCATGTCATCCTCCCAAAGTTTTGGGATTACAGGCATGAGCCACCACTCCCAGCCTCCACTTGGTTTAATTCTGTTTTGCCTCCTTCCACTCAGTTCTCCTCAAACAACCAGAAGTATTTTTAAACAGTTCAGCTCCAAACCTGTTACTTTGCTTCTTGAAATATTTCGATAAGTCTCCCACTTACTCTCAAGACAATAATCATAGTTAACATTTATTGACAGTTTATTATGTGTTTGTTAATTTTTTATTTTAAAAATAACACTTTGGTAGATACAGTTATTATTTTCATTTTGTGGGTAAGGTAAGAAAACTGTGGGACAAGTGGTAAAGCAGTTCACTCAGTATCGCACAGAGTGAGTGGCTGAGCTGGGATTTGAACCTGAGCAGTCGGTGTTCTGGAGCCTGTGGATTTATCATTACTCCATACAACCACTGTCCTAGCTGCTAGGCTCCAGCAGCCTGACTCTGGCTCCTTCCAGTTTTCCCTGTGTCCCTACTTGTATACTGTATTGCAGCCATAGATTCTCAGAACATCTATGCATCTCTTATCTCTGTACTTTTACCTTTACTTTTTTTTTTTTTTTTTTTGTTTTTTTTTTTTTTTTTCCCTTTTTTTTTTTTTTTTTTTTTTTTTTGAGGTGGAGTTTTGCTCTTGTTGCCCAGGCTGGAGTAGAGTGGCACAATCTTTGTTCACTGTAACCTCCGCCTTATGGTTTCACACAATTCTCCTGCCTCAGCCTTCTGAGTAGCTGGGATTACAGGTGCCCACCACCACGCCCAGCTAATTTTTGTATTTTTAGTAGAGACAGAGTTTCACCATGTTGGCCAGGCTGCTGTCGAACTTCTGACCTTGTGATCCAACCGCCTTGGCCTCCTAAAGTGCTGGGATTACAGGCGTGAGCCACCGTGCCCAGCCGCCTTTTACTCTTCTTTATCTAACTCCTATTCCTTTAGGAGACTGAACACATGTTTCACACATTATAGGAAGTCTTCTTGGACATCCTTGATCCTACTTAAGTACCTTCCTCTGTTTTCACACAGCTCTCGTGACTTCTTTTATAATTGCTTTTGTCACTCGTATTATTATCTCCATTTGTCCATCTTTTCTACCAGAAGTTCTGCCACATAATAAATGCTCAGTAAATCAGCAAGAAATGACTTTATCTCCTTCAGCTTCACAACAGTTTCTTTTTTCAAATGACGAAACAGATTTAGAGATGTTAAGTAAATGTCCCCAGGACACAGAATTATTAAAGAATGAAGCAAGAACTCAAGTGAGAAGGGATGGAAAAGAAACTCCTCAGGCTCCTCTTGGGGGGGCACTTGCCCAAGGGGAAAGAGGACTGTGGCTTGAGTGTGATTATGAAGTGATGAATTCTTGGCACCTCAGGAAATATTCCACCCAAGTGGTGAACTATACAAAGAGGACTTTTTGAAAGGCACCTCATAAATTGTGCCCACAAAATGTACACACATAAGCCCGGTCCTTTTTCAGCTGCTATGCAGGTGCCTAACACAGTCTCCCATTTGTGGGGTCTGTTGTTGTAAAACTCCTTCCCTCCTGTGGTATCAGAGGGGCATGGAGAGGACAGCAGGAGAGAGAACTTCTCATGTAGCCTCCCAGGGTGCCTGGGCATCTTGAAGATGCTGGAACATAGAGAAAAGTGATTTCCACATGGAGACAGACAGCTTTACACTGAAGCTGACTTGTAATGTGACCTGGGATAAAGACATTCTGTTCCTTCTCTAAGCCTCAGTTTCCACATTTTTAATGAAAGTGGGTCAGACTAGGTCAGTGGTTCTCAACTTGGGTGATATTGCCCCCAGAGTATATTTGGCAATGACTAAAGACAGTTTCACTGGGGCAAGGGTGCTATTGAAAATTCTTCAATGTCTAAAGAATTTTGACAATTCACGACTGGGGCAAGGGTACTATTGGTGGTAGGTGGAGCCCTGGGATGCTGCTAAATGTCCTATAGGATTGTTCCCACAACAAAAAAAAATCTAGCCCAGAATGTCGATAGTGCCACCTTTGAAAAACCCTGGACTAGGTGATTGCAACAATCCTTCCTGGCTTTATTTGTCTATGCAGCCATCAGATTTCTCCCAGCAGCACCCTATAGGGCTCTAGATAAGTTCTTAAGGTTATCCTCCATAGTACAGAATGACTCTTGGTAAGGCTAGTCTTCAGCGTAACCTTGATCCTGAGGGCTCGTTCTAGCAATCCTTTATAAGAGTAGCTATCATTTATTAGAAGCTTACTCTGAGCTCTATATCAGGCGTTAGGCATTTCTCATACTCAACTTGAGAATAAGACCATCATCATTTTTTTAAAGATGGAAAAAAATGAGACACAGAAAAGTTCTGATTTGGGGACATATATATATTTGATGAAAGGGAATCACAAAGGGCAAGATTTCAAAGTTTCCAGACTGGGAGAAAAGAGTGTGAAAGAGTTCATGAAATGAGAACACAGACAGTTAGAAAGGGACTGTGGGTGGTCAGGCCTAGATTTAGATTATTTCCAACTCCAGTGGCCAACTTGATGTTTGCCTTAGTCAAGTAGTGTCACTATTCTGAGCCTTGCTTGAGCTCCTCACCCATTAAAAGGGGGTAGACAATACATTCAGGATAGTTATAAAGGCTAAATAAAAAATTTAAAATATATGTAAAGTGCATACCCAGTGTCTAGCATATGGTGTCAATAACTTTTAGTTGTTCTTGTTGCTTTTTAATCATTATAATAATATCTATTTGATCAGAGTCCAAGGCTGGTCACTTTCAAACTCCTAGGGCTCCCATATCCTAGAAGTAAAAATATTAGGTTAAAGGCTATGACTCTTGTTCATTTTTTTTTAACACATTGCACAATTGAAGAAGACAGGTTCTGGGGTAATTTTTGAGTGAGTGTTTCAAGTTCCACACTCCGATCCGGAATAGATAGGAAATGGTTGGGAGAAGAAGTTCTCATTTGTTCGTTGACATTTACTCACTACCTCAAAGGCCTAACTCTTGATCTGAGCTTCTTTAATCATGGCTGTCTCATCCTACCTTTCAGGAAGGCCCACCTGATTCTACGGCGGCTGGAGAGGGTGAGTAGCCACTGCTCCAGCCTCCTGCGGAGTGCCTACATCCAGAGCCGTGTGGAAACGGTGCCCTATCTTTTCTGCCGCAGCGAGGAGGTCCGGCCTGCAGGCATGGTGTGGTACAGCATCCTCAAGGACACCAAAATCACGTGTGAGGAGAAGATGGTGTCAATGGCCCGGAACACGTACGGGGAGTCCAAGGGCCGGTGAGGGAGGGTATTGCCCTCCGTGAGCACAGAGACTCTCCATGGGAGGGGGAGCAGTATTCTCCTGGATCCTGGGGCCTGGGTGGGCTGGGGGACAGCTGAGGATGGGCCTAGCAGATGAAACTTGCCAGCAAGGCCAAAGCAAATGGTTTCTCCTGTGGATAGTGGACAGAGACCTTTGAATTATTCATTTTTCTCTATCTTTTATTTTTTCAAAGATATTATTTGACTCTATCAAAAGTCTCTCCTTTTTAAACCTTTTCTTATGGATGGCTGTCAATCCTGAGGCAGAAGTTTTCAGGTGGAGACCAAGCGGCCTTTGCTCTTCTTCCTCCTTCCTGCCACACTCTGCTTTCTTCCTGCCATGGACCCCTGGAGGAGACCTATGGAGGGACAGTTTTGACCTGACCCCTAGAGGACACAGTTTTGACCTCTTCAGCACCAGGAAGGAAGCTCTGAGGATGGTTGCAGTGAGGAAGCATGGGTCTTTAAGGACTTCTCTCTCTTTTTTGCTGGACATTATTGAGTTTGTGGGACCCTGCCTCTTCCTGCTACCTGTGAGTCTGCCCAGAGTCCCCTGCAGGCCTGTCCATGCATTAAAAATTCCTATTGTCTCTCTTTCTGCTTGGGTAGTATTTCTTACCAAAGGAATGTTCTTGAGAGACCTCTGTTTATTCACTTATTGAGTATCTACCCTGTGCCAGTCACAGAGCATATGCAACTAAAGACAGAGAAGCTTCCTTCCCTCAGGGAACTTATGGCCCAGTGGAAATTATAGAGAAGGAGTCTGATCATTTCAAGCTGTGCTAGAGGAAGAATGGAGGTTCTCTGCATTCACTGTTGGAGCATGAGACACACTGGAGGGCTCCTGAAATGCTTCCTTGAAAAAGTGATACCTAAACCCAAAGGATGAGGAGAAATAAGCCAGACAGAGAGGTGAAAAAGAAGGGATTTGCTTGCCAGGCACGGTGGATCGTGTCTGTAATCCCAGCGCTTTGGGAGGCCAGGGCAGGTCGATCACTTGAGGCCAGGAGTTTGAGACCAGCCTGGCCAATACGGCAAAACCCCATCTCTACTAAAAATACAAAAAATAAAAAATAGCATGGTGGCATGCGCCTATAATCAATCCCAGCTACTTGGAAGGCCGAGGCACGAGAATTGCTTGAACCTGGGAGGTAGAGGTTGCAGTGAACCGACATGGTGCCACTGGACTCCAGCCTAGTTGACAACTTAAAAAAAAAAAAAAAAAAAGATGGGATTTGCTCCAGCAAGAGGGGATATGAACAAAAGCCCAGAGACAAGAGAGAGTACACCTCTTTCAAGGACTGAAAACTTTTCTTAAGAGTAGGGATCAAAGTAACAAGTGTCAAAAAGTGAGGCTGGGAGCTTGGCAAGGTGAGGCTGGGACCTTGGCAAGGCATTGGAAGCTTTGGAAAAGAAGCTTGACACTGTTTTGGAGCATCCATGACTATTTATATAACTAAAATAGTCAACTTGCTCTTTAAGAAAATCATTCTCACTACAGGGTGAAGAATGGATTGGAGAAGGCCCTAAAGAGAGGGGTACCATTGTCATTTTCCATGAAGGAGGTGATGGTAGCTTAGGGGGAGACATTCCAACATTAGAATCTCCCTTTATGTATCTATTTTTGAAACAGCTTTATTGAGGTGTAATTGAAATCTCCTTTTAAATGATAATTGCACTGCTTCCGGTATACCCTTCCCTGGGAGGGTAATGAGTACAAAGAGGTGTTATAAATTCTTAACACCTTTGTATTAGCTCAAATAGGCTACCTAGCTTGAGCAGATGGGATGTAGGTCAGGTATATCATAATGCAAAGATGACACCTGTGAAGAGAAGAGAGTATAGCACTGTGGGGTTTCACAAGAGGAAAAGATACTGATTATCAATAAAAGATAAGCCATTCCAAATATGCCTATCCTCATTTGTATAGTGGTGAGTAAAAAAGAAAAAACAATGGCTACTTCACTTCTCAATTTGGCGAATGTTGATGAGATTGACAATCCCCTTCCCGATAACCTACATACTGAGGACATTTTTGCCCCCAGGACTCAGATTCATATGGGGAAATAGGTAACACAAAAGCAAACAAGGCAGAAAGGGATTCTTCCAACCTTGGTGCCTGGGAAGCTTCTCAACCTCTCACAGTCTAAGCTCTAAGGCACTTTTTCAGGAAGTTTACTATTATTGGGTTTATGTTTCTCTAAGTATACAGGTGGAGTTTCTAAATGCCTCTTGTGTATACCACTTCCTGGGTATACATGGGCCTTCAGAGAGCTATCAGTTTGCTAGGCCTGGGTCCCAGGTTTTCGGAGAGCTATCCAGTTGCTGTAGCTTTCCATTGTCTTGACCCAACCTGCAGAACAATTTAGCTCAACGGTTGCAGAAAATTACAACACTCAGTGTGCTGGTGTGGTGGTCTGAGCCTGATTTAGCTTGAGTCTGACAACACTGCTATTCACCAGCTATTGCCCTTAAGGGAGGAACTTGACTTCAGGTTTCTTGTCAACAAAGTGGAGTCAATGCTGGTCCCACCTCAAGGGGTTGTTTCCCAGCTTGAATGATAAAGGAGTTAATATGCATCCAATGCAGTATATAGTGTTTTTGTTTATTTTTTTCTTTTTTCTCCTGACAGAGACAATATGCGTAATACTATGAATCTTGGGCAGATATCTAGGAAAATCTGGGTGGGAAAGGCCTAGATAATTCTGATTAAAAGAAAGAATTAATGAGTAACAGCTCTGTCAGCTATGTGAATTGTAACTAGTGTCAAAAACCTAACTCAAAGAGAAGTGGTCACCATGGTGGAATTTAATGCAATAACAAGACCCCCAAAGAGAAGTGTGTGGTTAAAAAAAAGAAACATTCTTGACGCGTAAATGAAGCTGGGAGGTATGGTGCCCTGGCATCTGCATGACCAGATTGATCCATACGCTGCCATGGAACTTGCCAGGGAAGCTCATGTCACAATATGCTGGCAAGGATGAGACTTCTTGTGTAGTCTTCACCGCCATGTAAAGAAGTTGTGAACACACAAAGGTGTGTGTTAGGGGTGCATAGGAAATCACCCCTAAATGACCTCATCCTTCTGGATGGTAAAGAAATATCTTCTCTCAGCAGACTTTGTGATAAAGTGTGCCCTACAGACAAATGCTGGTAACTACCATTTAAGGAATCCTCATCATAGGGATGGCTCTACATACTTATCTCATTTAACCATGGGCAAAACAGTCATGTGCTGTTGTGGTGATCATTTTACAATTCAAGAAACTCAGGTTTAGGCAGACTGAATAACCTGCCCCAAATCCTGTAGATAGTAAGTGATGGTATTGAGATACTGAGATCTAAACTTGAGCAGACTAAGTAATTCCAAATGATGGGCACTGTGTAAGCACGCTACCTGCTAGGGCTACTAAGTGCAGTACCTCCCTTCTCCATCTTAAGTCAAAAACTAAGTCTAACTTCCAACCAATACCTGAGTACTGATTTCCAGGTTTGGGGTACTAACATGAACAGGATCTAGCTCCTGCCCTTAAGGAACTCCCAGAATTTAGCTAACTAAATACAGTGTGATAAAATCAGACACTCTGGAGTCAAGCCAATCTGGGTTTAAATATTGGCTGTGCAATTTACAGTGAGGCAGGGCTAACCCTTAAGAGAAATTTAGGAGGCAAACTCAACAAATATTGCTAACTAATAAGCTCAGGTTAGCTGGCATTTACTTAACCTCTCTAAGCCTTATTTTTCTCATCTGTGAAAGGGATAAATATACTACTTCAAAGACTGTTGGGAAGATTAAATTAGATGATGTATATAAAGCCATTGGGTACTTGAAAACAAAAGTTCTTAATAAATAGTTATTATAGTGACTTTAAGAGACAGGATCCCACTCTGTCACCCTAGCTAGAATGCAGTGCAGTGGTACTAACACAGTTCGTTGCAGCCTCAAACCTCCCAGACTCAAGCAATCCTCCCACCTTAGTCCCCCAAGTAGCTGGGACTACAGACGCACACCACCACACCCAGCTAATTTTTGTAATTTTTTTGTATTGTAATTTTTCTTTATCCTGCTCAACCTTGTCTCGAACTCCTGAACTCAGGCAATTCTCCCAACTCGGCCTCCCAAAGTGCTGGGATTATAGGCATGAGCCACTGTGCCAGTCCTAAAATGACTTCTTTACATGAGAAAGGGTGGGTGCAATGGACTCTGCCATTGGAAGGCAAGTCATCATCAGGAAAACCTTCATAGTCAAGGGTTTATAAGAGTTCAGTAAGTAGAGTAGGAGAAAAAGGGCATGAGGGACAGAGAGACAAGCATATTGATGAAAAAGTGTGCCATATTTGAGGGATAGTGAACAAGTGGTGTGATCAGGGAGATGGAGGATGTGTTTGGAGAAGCTGTCAGAGCCAGACCACATTGACCATTGGAAGGCACTCGACTGAAAGTAGAGGTGTGACATGGGCAGATAAGCATTTTCAAAAGCCCCTTCGGGGTGCAAAGTAGGACAGTGGGGAGGAGAGAGTTAGTGGCAAGGAGACTAGATAGGAGACTATAGGTATTGTTTAGGAGGAAGATGAGGAAGCTTGAGCTAGGGCCATTGCAGTGATGAGGCTGGATCCTCAGATCAGGTGTCAAGGAAGTTGACTCAGTAGGATTCGCTAACCAAAGCCTGATGACTTGGGTTTTATCTTTCCCCACTGCTGACTGAGTGTTACACTGGGCAGAACTAGCTGGGGCATGAAGTGAATGATGAATCACATGGGTTCAACGGACAGTGTGCATGGATGAGGCATGATTTACATCATGCAGAAACAGTCATTGGGACATCAGAGAGCTGAGAATATAATTTAGCTTTATGTGAAAACCATTCATGGCCCTGAGTGTAATTATGCACAAATGTGCTATGACTTTCAAATGCAGGTGTGGGAACCACAGCAAAGGGCTTACGTAAGTAGTGTAGAATTCTGTGGAAGTGTAAAATACTGGACTTATAGAAATAGTGCTGAGTTCTCTCCTTCTCCTCCTTTTCCTCCTCTTCCTCCTCATCTTCACTATCCTCATCCTCATCACCATCATCATTTAATTCATTGCTTACCATAAGACATTCTTTACATAAATATCATTTCATATACTTCTAACAACTCCGTGATGTATAAATTATTATTTTTTTCAAAGATTTGAGAAATGAATCTGAAGGAATTTAAGAAACTTTCTGGTCTCAGGCTGCTAGTATGTGGCAGAACCAGATTTCAATCCAGATCTCACTGGACTCCAGAATTTTAACTACTATACTCTGTTGTCTCCTCAGGTAGAGACCTCTGGTCTAGTCTTGCTCCTGAAGTAGAGCTGCTATGTGACCTTGAGCAAGCCGTTCACCTCTGTGGGCCCTGGGTTCTCCATGTACCCCCACTACACTAGGGGAGATCTATGTGTCACGGATGTGAAAGATTATATCAGATGATGACTCAGGTACAAAGAGCACTTTTAATCTCTCTTTTATCTTCGCTACCTCCCTTTGAGATTGACAACAGCAGGATGACTGTTTCTGGCCAGTCTAGAGAGGGTCACAGTTTCAACCAGGTTGCCACAGAGCAAG